CAGGGGTGGGGTGGGCAAAGGAGAAGGGTGGTTAGTGTTTTCCCAGCAGCTGGAGACCCCGAGAGATGAGACCCTAGAGTGTAGCTGCAGGCTGAGCCCTGGCTCCCGCTGCTTTTGTATCGGATCGCCATAACAGCCCTGTGAGGCTGGCACCGGGACGCTCCGTTGCTGCCAAGGTTCCGTGGGAGGTCGAGGTGGGGTGGGGTGGGGTGGGGTGGGGTGTGGTGTGCGTGGGGGTGTCGCACCATAGCCAGAAGTCCCTGAGGGGCAGGATTTGGGGAACTCGGTTGGTTGGGCCCAGGGAGCTGAGAAGTCCCCAGCCTTTGAAGGAGACCCTATGGTTCCCCCTGCCCACCCCTCCATCCAGCCCCCTTCACGGAGAGAACCTTGTTACAGAAGTTCCGCTTTCTCAGCCCCACCGCCCACCGGCCAGAACGCACCCTCGGACCTTTTGGTGCAAGTGCTTGGCGCGGTGGTGCAGGGGTGGGTCTGAGAGAGGCGGAAGCGCTTGGAGTTCGTTTCCACCCCGTGGGCAGCTTGCTCCAGACCCCAGAGCTGCCTGGGCTGCCTGGGGAATCGGAGTCCTGGCGTGATCTCGCGTGTCCTGACGAGGGTGGAACACGGCCGATCAGAGCTGACCCCAGAGCCCAAAAGGAACCCAGACACCGCATCCGGTTTTTATATATTTACTTTAGTTCTTGGTCCTTTGCCTCTTGAAAACAAGAGCCCAGTGAGGGTCCTTGACAGTTGTGAGTCTTTGGGATGAGAGCGGATCAGACGGATTGGCACCAGGCGCCCTTTATCTCGGCCCTTCTCCCTGAAGTGGGCCGGCTGCTCGGGGAACTGCCGTTTCCTGAGTTTCCTGACGGGGTGGGGAGCAGGGCCGAGGTGCTGTTAACCTTTGAGATGTCTGTAGTGGGAGGCAGGATGAGGCAACCGCTGGTGGCGCCGGCGTTCTGAGGAGAGAGGACCCTGGACCTGTCGTGGGCGAGGCGTGGTGATGTTTGCGTTCCAGGGCCGCTGGCTTTAACTTCTGGGTCTGCTTTGTGCCCTTCATCTGCCCTCATCAGCCTGGGTGAGGCCGCCATTTCTGCCCCACGCCCATCTCCCCTGGCTTCTCCATCCTCGGCCTCCTGCTGGGCTGGGACCCTGGGCAGGGGGGCTCACAGGTCATCCCACGGTTGGATTTTGGCAGAGAATTATCCCTTTACAATCCGGGTGCCTGCAGAGGTGAGCTGGAGTTGAGACCCCTCTTTGCTCACCTGGTACTCCAGCCCCCTTGCGCCCTGGCAGTGGGGGGCACTGGAGGCAGTGGGCACCAGCTGTGTGCCTCTGTCCTGCTTCTCAAGTGTGTGCCTGTCCTGGAAGGCCAGAATCTGGGGGACCCTCTCCCCATTAGCCCCACCTCAGGTGGCCTCCCTCATCTCTTTACTCCTTCAAATAAAAAATTTTAAAAGGGGAAAATTCTTCCCTTACCTGAAATCTGGCCTTGAGATCTGGTCACCCCATGTCGTTGAGACCCCGGCAAGAGCTTCATTCATGAGCCTCTGGTCTTCCAGAAGGGCCTGGTCTGTCCATTCATGACCAGGGGCTTCAAATAGCGCTTTGTGAGCGGCAGGGAGCTCCTGCTACGTGGCCTTCCCTAATGCACGTGCGCACACAAGGCCAAGGCCCTCCTCGGCACCCACCTCCCCTTCCTCTGCAAGGGTCAATTTTATGCTCTAAGGGAAATGGGGAAGGGGGGCCGGGGGACAACCTTATAGGAATTTTCGGCCGATTCAGCATTTTTTCTGGGATTGCTCCAAAAATTCCCTAAACCATAATAAAAAGAAAAAAAAAATTGTGAGCAGGCAGCTGATTAGTTAGCTTTTTACAACACAGCGTTTCTTTTTGATGCTTAAAAACGCGCAAATACAGTTTTAAAACAAGCCCCTGTGCAGCGTTTGGAGGAGGGAAAACGCCGGAAAAGGTTATAAAGCTGAGAGACGTTAACGAGGGGCGGCGGGCTCGCCCTTGGCGTTGGTGTCGGCAGCCGCGACAGGAGCCAAGCCGGGCTTCCGAGGCCCTCGCTTAGCCCTGGCACCAGCTGAGATCCGCGGGGTCCTCACCACGAGGCCTGGGGGGCCCCGGAGTGACGCGCGGACCTTGGCGGGGAGACGCTTGTACGTGTGGGCTGTGGGCCCAGTTCAGGGAACTGGGTTTCTCTGAAGATGATGGTGTGCGCTTCCCAGAAGTGAGCCCGAGTGACGGGGAATTTGGGGCAAAGGAGGACACTCTCGGAGTCGGCCACGCGGGAAGCTGTGCGGGGCCGCAGCGTGCATTCAGGGGGCCTGAGCCGTTGCAGCCCTTTGTGCTCAGAGACGGGCAGAAGGCTGTGGGGTGACTGGGGGTGACTGGGGGTCCCGGTGCACCAGATCAGGGCACCTGGTGAGCTTTCAGGGGCCTTGTTCACACACAGGGACACCCACACGCTGCCGTTTATCTGGGCCGGGCCATTAACCTCAACAGAAAAAGGCTTTTTCCAGGGATGTCTGGCAGCAAATTGCTGGGTGGACTGGCAGGCTGCACAGATGAAAGAGAACCCGCCAGAACGCTCCCCTCTCCCTCGCTCCCCTCAGGCGCTGGGCTGGGCTGGGCTGGAGTCCAGCCGACCTCAGGCCCAGCCCTGCCCCAACCCCTCCCGGCTTCCTCTGCCCCCAAGAGGCCCCTGGGGCAACACGGCCCCCACTTCTTGGCCTGGCAGGAGGGCAACTGATCCCAGGCCCCCACCCCACCCCACCCTGCAGCTCCTCCTCCCTGCTAGCCGGGGCCGGGGCCAGGTTTCAGGGGGCCAGGCTCCGTGAAGCAGAGTATTGTAAGGCTCTGCTGAGGGTCTCCTGCGCCGCCCTCCCCATGGCTCCCTTCCAGCCAGGTTTGTTGCCCGGAGCTGGGACAGTGAGGGAGAGCTGCTTACGTTTCCGACACCCTCCCCCTCGGGCGGACGCCCCCTCTCCCAGAAGAGGCGCCCCGCCAGCGCCCCGCACGCAGGGCCCTTGTTTACGTGGCCTGCTGTGGGTCTTTGTGTAGCCTTCAGGGCCGCACTCCCTCGGCAAGAAAGTTCAAAGATTGCCAGCGCTCACGAGTTTATTAGCAGTTGATGGATACTTTGCAGAAACAAGTTAATGCCTGATGAGTCACCTTCTGCTTGGAGCCCTTGTCCCTCTCTTGTTTTTCCATATGTTCCCATGTGTGCGCATGCAAACACACACTCCAGTGTGCTCGCATTTGGGGACACACAGTCTCGCTTACACTTGTGCTTTATAGGTGCGTGCGTGGGGGGGGTGACGGGCCCGTGTTCCGGGTTGGCTCTCGGTGGGGTGGGGATTGAGGGAGAGGAACGGGCCCTCAGTTCCCCGTTGTGTGGCTGTCTTGGCAGGCATCTGAGAAGGCCAGGTGGGGTGTCTGCAGGGTGTGTGCTTGGCTGCCTCTGGGTCCGAGGGCACAGTGTCCACTTACTCATGGGACACCTCCATGTGAGACTGGCTGCTGCTTAAAAAAAAAAGTTCATGGGGCTGACTGGCTCCCAGGTCCTAACATGCCTGTCACCATTGGACGGAGTTGTGTGCTGAGCTGCACTAGAGCAGCAGACGGGGCCCCCAGCCCCCCTCCACCCCGTGGTCACGCTGCAACAACCCATCTATTCTCCAAGCCCCGCTGTTCCAAAATCAAAAAGGCCAAGCACACCCCGAAAGACACCTCACAGCCAACCCCTCCTTCCTGTCCTAAGCCTTCGCCTCCCGCCCCCCACCCCCTCCCCATTTTTGTTAACAAATACAAGACTTCCGGTCTCCGCCCTGCCACCACAAACCGCAGCCGGGTTCCTGCAGCCCAGCCTGGCTGGGGAGATTTATGGTTCCCAGTCTGAGGCCTGCCCCGCTGGCTCCAGCTTAAGGAGGAGTCGGAATGCCAGCCGCCAAGGGCTCCCTTTCTTCCATACGTCCCCCTTTAAAGAGCTCCGTGTGCCGATTTAGGAAAATCGCCTTACCAGGATCTCACCAGCCTCCCAGGCTGCCTGCGGGAAGAGGCACTTCTGGGACGTCCCGGGTGGGGCCTGCAGGGGCGGGAGGAAGGAGGGGGCAGGCCAGGCGCCTAGATGTTGCTGGGAGGGAGGGGAGAAGGGCACTTTAAGGGTGGCCATGCCCAGTTTAGACACACAATCTGGTGTCGGCTAGAGGAAGCTTCCTTAAGGTGGTCTGGGTTAACTGGACTGTCCTAGGTTGTGATTTGGCATTTTGGCGGGAATCCACGCTTTGTGCACAGCGCTGCTGCCGACAGACACCGAGGGTTGTTTCTCTGTTAGGAAGATTCTTTTGCCCCCAAACACCTCCATTTACATTCTTACCAGACAGCTCTTAGGCCCAAAGCACTGATCTGAGAACCTGGTGACAGCCACAGAGACCACGGGGCAGGTGGTCCTGGCGTCTGGAGATCGGGTCCTGCCTGGCCCTGGCTGTGTCATGCTCCGGGACCCGAGCAGCAAGCTTTCTGGGGCCCAGGTTTCTCATCAGGGTGGCCAGGGCGCAGGGCACTGGCCTTCAGGATGCCATCAGCTTACAGAACGAACTCTAGGCCATCTGCAAGGCCTCTTATGGCTTTAACACCAGGACCAGGCCCCCTGGCCTCTGAGCGCACAGGGATGGGCCTCCTTAGGCCAGGGGGGCGCATGTACTGGTGTCTGGGTCCCTGACAGGATGGGGAAGGGGTGGGATGAGGTGCACCCAGCAAGCCCCCTGCTTAATTAAAGTCGGGACACTTCTACCAGAGGGTCAGGATTTTCAGCCCCAGTGGGAGGCCTGGAACCGGTAGGCCGCCCAGCACCACCAGCATCTCCTCCTGTCCGTGTGCCGAGAGCCGAGCTGGGTGCGTGGGGTGCGCCTGTGTATGTGTGTGTGGGGGGGGGCGTTCCGGGAGGAAGAGAAAGTCCCACCCCCACCAACCATGTCTGCCGTTTTGTCTTGTAGATTCCCAACTTCTCCTGGAGCCTGGGGATCGGTCACACTGGTGCGTGGTGGCATACTGGGAGGAGAAGACGCGCGTGGGGCGGCTCTACTGCGTCCAGGAGCCCTCCCTGGACATCTTCTATGATCTACCTCAGGGGAACGGCTTTTGCCTCGGACAGCTCAATTCGGACAACAAGAGTCAGCTGGTGCAGAAAGTGCGGAGCAAAATCGGCTGCGGCATCCAGCTCACGCGGGAGGTGGACGGCGTGTGGGTGTACAACCGCAGCAGCTACCCCATCTTCATCAAGTCGGCCACACTGGACAACCCGGACTCCAGGACGCTGCTGGTGCACAAAGTGTTCCCCGGCTTCTCCATCAAGGCCTTCGACTACGAGAAGGCGTACAGCCTGCAGCGGCCCAACGACCACGAGTTCATGCAGCAGCCGTGGACTGGCTTCACCGTGCAGATCAGCTTCGTGAAGGGCTGGGGCCAGTGCTACACCCGCCAGTTCATCAGCAGCTGCCCATGCTGGCTGGAGGTCATCTTCAACAGCCGGTAGCCGCGCGCTGGCGGGCGAGGACAGAGCGAGCCGGGCGGGCCCAGTCCAAACTACTTTGCTGCTAATATTTTCCTCCGAGTGCTTGCTTTTCATGCAAAAGTCTTTGGTCATTGTTCCTTTTTTTTTTTTCTCCCTCTCCTTCTTGTCATCCTTGTTTATGTTCCGTTTTGTCTTGTTCTTTGAGAAATAGCTTATGAAAAGAATTGTTGGGGTCTTTTAATTGGGGGGGATCGTACGGTTGGCAAGACACCCCCATGTGAAAAGGGGAAGCAAAAATCAGTCCCCCTGAACACAGTGTATGAATGGGGAGCAGCCCCTAACTCGGGGGGTCATCGTTTCACTTGTCAGGGTGGGCATGTGAACGGGTGTGTGCGTGTGTGTTTGTGCGCGCGCACACCCGCGAGCTCTGTGCTCCCAGCTGTGTCTCCCTTGCCCTCTGGACATGCTCAGTGAGGCAGAGACTGCACCCGGGCAGCCTGAGCCCAATGTCTCAGCAGTTGCCAGAAGCAAGGCTCTGCCCTCAGCCAGGGAAGCCCCCGCCCCCCCCTCCCCTTCTAAGGACCCAGGCCTGTCACTAGGCTTCCTAGAAACAACGTTGTGCAAGAGGCTGACCCAGAATCGTTCTCGAGTTTGTCTTAACTCCCCTCCAGCCACCCTGCTGCCATTGTCTTCCCTCTGTGGCACCTGCTCCCGGATGTGTCTGAGCTACAGTATTGCTCACCCGGTGCCCTCTCGGGCCCTCAGCCTCTCCCCTGCCCCGGACCCCTCAGGTTTTACCCGGACTCAGAAAATCAGCTCAGCACTCGGCTCTCCTGCGGCCTGTGTTGAGCTCTGCTGTTAGACCAGCGAGGGGAGCAGCCCGCTTCCCACCAAGGATTCGGTCCATCATAACCCAAGGTACCGTCCTGGACTGACACCTAACTCTTCTTTCGTTTCTTCTCCAACTCATACACTCGTATGATGTGTTGACACTGCTCTTAGCTCAATGAGCATGTTTAGACTTTAACATAAGCTATTTTTCTAACTACAAAGGTTTAAGTGAACAAGAGAAGCATTCTCATTGGAAATTTAGCATTGTAGTGCTTTTGAGAGAAAGGACTCCTGGAAAAAAAAAAGAAACAAAAAACACACACAAAACCCTGAGATTTATTAAAGAAAAAATGTATTTTATGTTATATATAAATATATTATTACTTGTAAATATAAAGACGTTTTATAAGCATCATTATTTATGTATTGTGCAATGTGTATAAACAAGAAAAATAAAGAAAAGATGCACTTTGCTTTAATATAAATGCAAATAACAAATGCCAAATTAAAAAAAGATAAACACAAGATTGGTGTTTTTTTCTATGGGTGTTATCACCTGGCTGAATGTTTTTCTAAAGGAGTTTATGTTCCATTAAACAATTTTTAAAATGTATACTTGATTCCATGTTGTCCTCCAGCTCCTTTGTCTTATGATGGGATATGTGGGGAGGGGTGTCAAGAGTCTGGGACAGTTGGGGTCTCCCTGGCCCAGCGCTTGGTTGGGGAGAAGGGGGAGGGGGGCCGTGAAAGGAATGTCCGGAGCAGCCTGCCTCCGTGGTCAGTTCCCTGTGTGCAGAAAGACCCAGAGCCACACAGACACCCTTGTTAGGTGGGGACCCTCGGGTGTAGCCAGCTGGGTGCCCTGAGTTTGTCATGGGGTCAACCTCGGGAAGCTCGGAGTTACAAAAGTGGGGAGTTTTTTTGTTTGTTTTTTTCAAAGCTTGAGAGAATTGAGAAAGGGGTTTATTTTGGGTAGGAGGTTGCACTGGGAGACGGGTCCATCCCTTCCTGCTTGCTCAAGGTCACTGCCCCACTGGTTCCAGGACAGGTTCTCCGAGGGACGCAGTCCTGGGAGGAAGATGAGGGGAGGCTGAGAGTTGGCGCTGGGCGGACTGGGGGGCCACCTCCCCAGTCCCGGGCCAGGCACCCCAGGAAGTGGAGGAACCTGAGAGGCCGTCCTGCTCTGCATCCCCTTCCCCATCCACCGGAACTAGTGACGGGTCAGTCCCCTCAGCCAGCCCAGCCCAGCCCAGCCCCGATGGCACTTGCTGGTAAAGTGCCTCTGTGGTACTTGCCCTGTGGTTTCTGTGGTTGATCTGAGCCATGATTTAGTTTCAGGCTTGCACTAGATGGGCACTGTGTAACTCATGGACAGAATAGGGCGGTGAAGGCCTGGGAGGGGCAGGCATGGGGTGGAGGGAGTCCATGGGAAAAGACGAAGGGGACGTCTGTAATACTTTCCAACAATAAAGATAAAACAAAACCAGAGATGGTCACCAACCAGGAGTTGTATAACTCATGGACAGAGAATAGGGCGGTGAAGGCCTGGGAGGGGCCGGCATAGGGTGGAGGGAGTCCATGGGAAAAAGACAAAGGGGACGTCTGTAATACTTTTCAACAATAAAGATAAAACAAAACCAGAGATGGTCACCAACCAGGAGTTGTATAGGTATCTGTTGGGGCTCTTAAACCTTGGATCCAGGAGGGGGTGTCCGCAGGGGGGGGGTTAAGATTTTGGGTATCATAAACTGGTAGAATTTCAATAAGCCTTTTTGGAGGGCCAAAGTAAGAATGGCCAATTTTTCATTTTGCCAAATTAGTGACACAGCAGTACCTCCTCCTGGCACCACCATTTCATTCAAGGGACTTCTAATACAACAATGTGGTAAGAAATACTAATACGTGTCCATTTATGCGCTAGAGCCTTCGTGCCAAATGGCCAACTGGGCCAGCTGGCTCATTGAGGTGACGGGGAGCTCACTACCTATCAAGAGAACATTGTGCTTTTTTTCTCGGTTGAACTGAAACCTACCTTCATTTATTCTAGTTCTGCGACCCAGAATAAGTCCCGACGGGGAGCTCACTACCTATCAAAAGGACATTGTGCTTTTTTCTCGGTTGAACTGAAACCTTCCTTCATTTATTCTAGTTCTGCGACCCAGAATAAGTCCAGTCCCCACCTCCGAACACACCCAAGGAGGGGTCTAATTACCACCCGTGTGGAGGGGCGGAGGGGCGGGCGGGAGGTGTTGGCTGGGAGCTGTCAAAGGCCTTCAGTTTGCTCTAACTTGCATCAGCACGCCGGGAAGCTGCGTAATGATAGCCACCACCTATTGCAGTGATGGCGAACCTATGACATGCGTGTCAGAGGTGACACGCGAACTCATTTTTTTGGTTGATTTTTCTTTGTTAAATGGCATTTAAATATATAAAATAAATATCAAAAATATAAGTCTTTGTTTTACTATGGTTGCAAATATCAAAAAATTTCTATATGTGACACGGCACCAGAGTTAAGTTAGGGTTTTTCAAAATGCTGACACGCCGAGCTCAAAAGGTTCGCCATCACTGACCCTATTGAGTGCTTTACTGGGTGCCAGGCAGGGTGCTCCCCGTGGAAGGGAACTATTTCTCATGGGACCCTCTGCAAAAATGGAGGCTGCTTTGAGAGGTTAAAGACTTGCCCAAGGACGCTCAGGAGGAAATGCTTAGGCAGGCCACGGTCTGACACTCCGTCCACGCCCTGTAGACATGGTTATTGATGGAGTCGGGGTGGTGCCAGTCCCACAGTTCCTCAAAATCAGGATAACATGAGCCACCACGCTGCCGCCTGGCCCGCTGTTTGGGCGGGGCCTCGGCTTTGGAGGCCAGAGCCGTGGTGGCAGCGCCTTCAAGCCCTCCTGTTACCTGGATTTGGGATTTGACATTCAGCCTCAAGAGGTCAGAACTGGGGTGCGGGCGTGTGGATCCCGGGGGGTGGGTGGCTCTGGGTGGACAGGGAAAGAGGACTGTTTAGGAAAAGCCAGGTGTGGCTGGAGGCCGACATGCCTCACGTGGCCAGAGGAACTTCACCTGAGCACCTTCCATGTGCCAGGACTGCGCTGCGGGGCAGCCTGCCCTTGGGGGCCTGGAGGACAGGTAGCCCACACCCAGGATGGTCCCTAGCAGCACAGGGAGAGGGGGTGTGCCCGGGCCCCATGGAGGAGGCGGCTCCCAGCCCAGGTGGAGTTTGGATGAGTGAGGGGAGAGAAGGTGCCCAGCGTTTTCCTGCCATCTGGCTCTCCCCCTTCGTATTTCAGTTCACCCCTTTTATTTGGGGGTGTCCCCGGGCAGCCGGCATCACTCAGGTGGCTGATCTCCCCTCACCTGGCGGTGTCTCAGCTGCCCCAACAAGAAACTTGGATTCTCCCATCTCTGCCTCATCCCCAGTCATAAAATAGAAAACCAAATCCTGCCCGCCCTGCCTCGTTTAGTCCCCAGTTATGACATTTCAATATCGCCCCCATGTTTCCTTTCTCCATCCCACTAGGACGATTTCGTCCAGGGACTTCTAGCATCTCCTCGACTCTCCTCTACTCCCAGTGGCCTTCCAGCCCCTGCCTCTGCCAACCTCACCCTTTAACCCCACACACAGCCCGCCCCCCTTGCACGTGCAGACCCTCGGTCCCAGGCACGTAGGGTGACTTCACTTCCCCGCCCTGAGCACGCCTTGCTCACGTGCTTCCAAGCAAGTGCTTTCCGGCTCCTTTCATCGGCTGTCTCCTTACCCTTCAGGTGGCAACTTGGGCCACACCTCCTCCAGGGAGCCTCCCAACTTTAAAAAATGCCTGCCCTGTAGAGATATCAATGGTGTAGGATTCTGCCTCCCCTACTGAACCCTAAGTTCTTGGTACTCTGGGGTCTCAGCCGGGGCCCCAGGTAGGATCTGCTGGCTCGGTGCTCACTCAGACAGGAGCGGGGGAGGGGCAGCCCTGTGGGCTTAGCTTGGGCTGGGAATAATAATAATGACCAGCACTGGTTGTTTTATGACTTTGTGCTGGGAAGGGTCCCAAGCCCTTTGCCGTGGGCTGGTCCATTTAAACCTTACAACCACCCTAAAGCAAATAGCATTGTCCTTAGCCCCATTCTACAGATAAACTGAGGTGGAAAGAGTTGCCGGAGGTCCCCCAGCCGGTAGCCTCAGATTTCATCACCTCTGTGCAATCTCATCTCCGTGGGCGGGCCTGGGTCACGGGCTGACTTCGTCGGGCACATGTTTTCTCTAAAACAAGTTCTGGTTAGGAAAGACCAAGCTGGTCTGATTGCTGAATCGCCGAAGCAACGCCCGACATCTGTGCAGTTCGTAGGCACCAAGGGCCTCCCAAAGGTTTGCGGCCCGGGGCCCCCGCTGCAGCAGGAAGCAGGCAGGACGAAGCAGACCCTCCGATAGCTGAGGGACTGACCCAGGACAGCCGCACCCAGTCTGCGCACCAGGCCCAAGTTGCACCCAAGTCCACAGCAAACACAGACGTCCCGAAGGGTCGGTCAGACCCCTCACCCAGCCCGCTTTGTGTCAGTCTGTGTGTCACAACAGCCAGGGACTGACCAGTGTTGGGCAGGTGGGCCGAGGGTCTGACATGACAGAGGACATGAGACACTGTGTGGGTTTTGCAGTCACACAGACCAGGGTTTGAGTACTGTAGTCACCTGGGGAAGTCACTTAACCTCTCTGAACCTCAATTTCTGCAACACAAAATGGGCATTACACCTGCCTCATGGGACCAAGGGGGTTTAGTGAGAAAATACATCTGGAGAGCTGGCCGTAGGTCGGAGAATGAGGTAGGACTGCTAACGCCGGACCATCCTGACTACAAAGATGGCCTGTCACTGTTTAACTTTCTAGAGCAGTGGTTCTCAACCTTCCTAATGCTGCGACCCTTTAATACAGTTCCTCATGTTGTGGTGACCCCCAACCATAAAATTATTTTCGTTGCTACTTCATAACTGTAATTTTGCCACTGTTATGAATCGTAATGTAAATATCTGATACGCAGGATGTATTTTCATTGTTACAAATTGAACATAATTAAAGCATAGTGATTAATCACAAAAACAATATGTAATTATGTATGGGTTTTCCGATGGTCTTAGGCGACCCCTGTGAAAGGGTCGCAACCCACAGGTTGAGAACCGCTGTTCTAGAGGCTCATTCAGGCAT